TTGTGGTCCACTCTGTCCTAAGATAAGTAAATAAGGGTTGCCGCGAGTACGCATATGCTTTTCGTGATTATTTATCCTCCTTCAACACCGTCCCACTTTCCCTTCTCCATACCAACACATCTGTATTGGGCTGTCCAGGCTGAGTTGTCTCTTGGATCGGCGATTAATTTACTTCCCGCACTCAGCGTGTCCAGTCCGGCAAGCGGAAATCTACATTCCTTACTAATGACTTTGGACCTCTTCAGGATCCCATTTTATCCCCTCGCCTCCTCTCCCCCCACACTGATGGTCTAAGAGAGCTCATCCGGATGGGAAGGCTACATGGAGCACCAAAGTGTGTCTGTTGCTTTTGAGGCTTTAGTTAGTAGGCCGTGATAGAAATTTGTCCAGTCGAATCTGTTTTGATCTGGGAACTTTTGCCAGACACGAACCTAGTTATCTGACCTAAAATGATCTCAGAGAAACTGATATAGGAGTGTAGATAAGGCTGTCTGATATCATTTGTCAACATTGGGTTTGGAACTGTACTACCCAGTCTGACTGAGCAGCTACAAGAGGATAAGTCTCTAGACATATACTGGGATAGTCGCTACAATGATCCAGACGATTTATTTGGCTCTGAGGCGTTACCTGGCAAAAAGTCAAACAACGGAGAGATATTTGAGACTTGGCATTCATCTCCAGTCGTCCACCAAGTCTCGTCGTCTGATGACAGCTCAGCCGATGCAGGTGACGCCGCCCACAGCGCGCCTCGGGGGCGGGGGGGGTGCAACATTGCTGGCTCGCGCGTGAATGAGTCTGTGGTGGGGCACACTTTCGAAGCTTCTAGCACACTCACTCCTTCCGCTCATCCACTTTGCCCCTATGGAAAGGTAGTGCCATGATGACTGGAGGTGGACGTGGGCGCAGTGGCTGAAAAAACCAAACAGCCTGTCTATGCGTGCCACACATGACCTAGTCCACACCCCAGGTGCACTGTTAGGGCAGCCCGGATCTCACGTAGGCGAGAATGTCATAAAGACCGTATACCAGAACACGGAGGAGTTAAGCCCCGCTAGATAAGGAGTTATTCGCACAAAAGTCGATTAGCAAGGCAAACGGCACTGGTGCTGGCAGACGACGCGATATCCACGTCGATGCGAACGTAGGGAAGCCTGCTGGATTCATCAGTCTTTGATGATGATGATGATGATGATGATGATGATGATGATGATGGT